CTAAGCTAGAGCTCGTCAAGTTTGTAAACGAGTTCCAGTTTCTTGCATTTGCCACTGATTTTATTTTCAACCCACCCAACCTCAGCATCAGGACTGTGGCCTTAGACTCTCACTGCTAGATTTTAATCTCCTGTCCAGGTGCCCACATCCTGTACTCTGTCCCAGCTAACACTAAGCAGAGTCCTGGCCCTCAGATCTCAAGTCAGGTAGAGCTGGTTTAGTCAGTCTGCCCTTAGCCAGTGATAAAATAACCAACGTACCTCTCTCTTCTCACAGAATGTGCCTCAAAGTGCTTTTCATTCAGAGTTTCCCTTCAGATCTCAGAATTTTAAAGAGGTTCATGATCACTATAACTTTTTATTACTACTTTTTATCCTTCCTAGGTGTAGACAGTTACACCCATTCCTCCACTAAACCCTCTAAAAATATTGTGTGTATTTGGAGTAAGGGAATTCATTCCTTTTTTTTTTTCAGGGCACACTAACCAGTCCTGCTGTTGAAAAATAATACCTAAGCCACTGCTTTCCTCTGTGCTATCACTCTGCTTGGTCTTTGACTTCTCACGAGCTAACCAGGAAGACCAAACTCATCTGGTATTGGCCTCATGCTAATTTTATGCATTAATAAACTACAAAAAGATCAAGAGTTCCAGTAATAAAATTATCTTTGTTAGTTAACATAGTTTTGTATGTTGATTATAAAAAAATTCTGCGCTAAAAAGTCATTAAATCGTATACCTTATGGCTGAAAGTTATGGTACATGAATTCTATTTCAATCAAACTGTTTTTGAGACACCATCGATATTCAAATACCTTAGTGTGGGGAAAAAAGCGTAGTTTTCACTTAGCTAAATTCAACAAAGTAATTGACTGCTATGAATAACACCTGAAGAAGTCTGAGTGGTGCCTCCAGAGGGGGAAGTTTATAAAAAGTCTTATTTGATATTCACAGAAAGTGTACAAGGAATGAAACGTTTCAATCTTTAGTTTACAGTTGGGAATTTGATGCTAGAAGAGTCTAAACCTTTGATAAGCCATGGAGGAAATGCTGGGCTGCTCTAAGTGCCCAGAACAAGCCAGTTGATTTCAACAGCTCTTCCTTAGTGTAGCAATGAGCTGTGATGTTCAGAGCATCTTCAAAGAACCAAATTCCTTCATGCAATTGTGGCTTTATTTTATGCAACAGAATCTACGAAATCGTTAAGTATAACATAGCTTCAGGAATCTATAATCCAGCAAGCCATGTGGATTCTGTGGTCAAGCACCATGATAGCCTGTGGTAGAAGGGACCCCCATACCTCCAACATAACAGGAAGTAAATATTCTCTATGGCCATCAACCCGTATTTTAAATTTATGCTTGTTTCAAGCAAGAAACTGAAAACTGTTACTCCACTGTTTTTCTCCATTTTTTAAAATCGTAGCATCATTATCTCTGAATATGCACCCCAGTAGCTAAAGGAAAATGAAGATACCATATTGGAGAAGAAAGTAGCTTCCTCTATTTCTCTGTAGGTGAGCTCAGCCTCCTAGATACATATAGAATAAACTGAAATGATTTTTTTTTTTTTGGTGAGGAAGCCCAAGAAAATGAATTATTCTTAGTGACTGTGCAATTTAAGAGATTAGAAAATGAAAAACCCCTTGTCTATTGCCAGCAATCTTGTACCAAGGAGAAATGGAAAGAGCTACTGCATGTTTTGTCTGTGAGTATATTCTTGGGATTAATATTTGGGATTATTTCTTCTTCATTTTCAGCGGAGCTCATAGAGACGTGAAATTTCCTTTTGCCATTTTCCATCCCTCTCCTCCTAATCCCCAGCCCATGAGACACTTGTAAAGGTTATGATGTCTCAAAGATAAGGCTGCATAATATAGAGATTAATATGAATTTTACAGGATAGGGCTTAAGGTCAAATAATCATTCCAACCCTCTGTTCCTGCATTAACTGTAAAGTTTATAGCACACTATCTTGGTATATCAAGTTAATTTTCCAATAAAATTTTAGTTTAAATTAATAGTCTGTTGAGGAGTCTACTCAAAGCCCAGAACCTGGAACATACCTGGAAGAGGGTATATGATAGAAATAAATTGAACAGTGACCTCCTTCTTTTGGAGGTGGCAATCTGATTGACAATACAAATATACCAATAATTCTAAAGTAAGCCTTCCTAGGTAAGACAGTTAAGAATTTGTTGAGTACATACCTTGAACCATCACTGTATTAGGGTTTGTGTTACATGGAATAACAGAGGAGCAAATAAAATGTTAATCATCACAAGTCTGGTTGGGTTATCAGAAAATGTCTTCATGGACAGCATGGAATAAATAAGTCTTTGTTCTTAAAGAATGCACAGTTTGCAAGCATTTATTTCTGTTAAGTCCATTTGGGGTAGTAGAAAAGCAAGATATCTAGTTTGGTTAAAAAACAGGATGCCTCTACAACATAGAGAAGGTAAAAGATCATATCCATGCAATCAAGGTGACTAAGACAGGCTTAAAATTTGTGTCTCAGCTTAACATAGAGAATGAGGGAAACAATTATATCTTTCAGTGGAAATTTTGGAATGTAATAGAAAACATAGAAACTAATAGACAAAACAATTTTATCAAGGGAAGATGATTTAGAGAAGACAGTATGTTTCTGATTTCGCTTGGAATTTCAGGTGCAGATAACTACAAGCATGACTTTGTAGGTAGATAGAGAAGCCAAGGGTAGAATCAGCAACTTAGAAGCAGCTGCCACTGGGACACAGCACAAAAAGATGGCATGATAAAGCACTGGAGGAAAACTGATATTTAGTGGCTGGGAAAAGAAGTGTGGTACTCTGAGGGGACAAAGGTGAGGCTGGCAGAGGGAGGATCACGAGTGAAGGGCTGGGCATGCCACTCGAAGTGTCTGATGGAGGAAAAGCCAGCAGAATCAAGGTTCCGAGGAGAGGGGAGGAGGTGCCTGAGCTGCTGTATGAAAGCCTTTCCCTGAACCAAGTTATCTCCATCTTAAGAAATATTTATGGTGTTGACCGAAGTGCTCTCGTTGTTTGATCTTAGCTCTCAGAATAAAGCCAAATAACATTTCCAAATCTTGGAAATTGTTCTGGATTAAAACGCAATTAAGGGGCAACAGACATAGCTCAGCAGCCTGGCACATGTGAGATCCTGAGTTTGATTCTTGGTTAAAAAAATCCAATTAAAAGGTCTAAAATGAAACAAAATCTCCCATAGGGTTTCTGCCAATAGTTGTGCCATTCATAAACATGGCCCTTCCTCCAAACTCCAAAAATAAAAAAGAATAGTAAATGCATGGCAGCAAGGGGAAAAATAAGAGTAAAATATTAGTTTGCAAATTTTTCTTAGAGTCTGACCTTAGAGATTGGTTCGATCAGTGCCACTCCTACATTTGTTCCTATGATAAGCTGAATTGTGGCCCCCTCAATTCATATATTGAGTTTCCAACCCTTTGTGGCTCAGATCTGACCTAATTTAGAAACGAGGTTGTTGCTGATGTAATTAGTTAAAATGAGGGTACCTTGAAGCATGGTAGGCTTTTAATGCAATATTACTGGTATCCTTATAAAAATGAGAGGTTTAGGCAAAGGTTCATACATACAGGGAGCCCACCATGAGAAGATGAAGCAGAGATGGTAACGTCACCAAAGCCAAGGAATTCTAAAAGTTGCCAGCAAAATAACACAAGCTAAGAGCCAGGCGTAGAGTAGATTCTTTCACAGCCCTCAGAAGAAACCAAACCTGCTGGCACCTTAGTCTTGGACTTCTGGCATCCAAAACTGGTGACAATGAATTTTTTATTTTAAGTCACCCTACTTGTGGTATTTTGTTATGGTAGTCCCGCAAACCAATATCCCTAAACCAATAGTTTCCAGTGGGTTTCCCCAGGTGGTACACATCAAAGTCTGGTGTATTACAGAGAGAACAGTTTTCTTCCTGGAAAAAAAAATTGGTCATATAAGCAGTTTTAAAGTCCTCTTTTCCCAAATCCATTTTATTTCTCGGAGAAAGCAGTTCTTTGACTAGTGTGTACATTGAGAGCTGACCTTGAAGAATAAATCTCCGCCGCTATTCTGGTGTGCTTGCTCTTCCAAACAGATCTAATAATAGAGCTGACCCTTCCACAATGACTGGCCAGTTGTACAATGGGCCTACCAAGAGGTTTTAGAGAAAAAAAGCTAATGAAGACTAGAAAGGTTCTTTTAACAGAGGAAATAATTGTGAGTTCAGCATGGTTAGTGATGTCTTTTGATATTTAGTGCTATTGGAAAAACTACCAAGACCACTTATAAAGGTTTTTATGTAACTAGACATTTATAGCTTGGCATTCATGTCTCTGGCTTGGCAAGGGAATCTCTCTATACAGTGGAAACATTTTTAAATAGCCAAGTGGCTAAGTAGGTGGCTTCTACGGCAGAAGTGCTGTACTTTGGGCACCCATAAAATGCATTCAGCATTTTGTATTTCTGTTTACAAGAACTTTAGAAAGCTGTCCTGTAGCCAACCCTTTTCTTCTCAAACAAAACCACCTACATCCTGCCTGGACTTACATGTGATCTTATAAAACAATATCAATTTAGTACTGGCCAAATTTTGCATAAATGTAAATTCTCCTTTCTCAAAGTAAAACAAACAAACTCAAAGCTTCTAAGTGATCCTAATCTGTAGAATCTGCACTTATGTGAGTGATTTCTACCAATAACTTACGAAATAACATTGTCAAAATAGACTGTCTGAATCCAAGCACATATGGTACAGTCTTCTTCCTGATTTTTTAAAAAATGATTATCTGTTCAATGCTTTGGTACAGTCTTCTTCCTGATTTTTTAAAACATGATTGTCTGTTCAGTGCTTTCCCGAGGTGGAGAGAAAAGCAAGGCCCTTCTTGCAGGAGTGGTTTTTAAAATTTCAAGTGGCTGTCAATCTAGGTGATTGTTAAGTCAGTCAAAGGGCAGGGAAGAGTGGTGTGACTGCTTGCGATGACAGTGTATTACATGCAGCCGGCAAGCTGCAATCACGAGAGTGAGAATGATAAAAACCCGTAACTGGCTCTCAGCTCTCAGCGTGTGAGAACACAGAGCAGGTAGGAATGGGGGTGGGGGGGGGACTGCACACCTTTTTGTCCTAAAAGAAGTAGTTATTAGTCACTTGATTTCTGCCTTTGAAAGTAGGCCGACATGGGCAGATTTCCCAGTTTTGTAAGAGCTAGAAACTTAGATTTTTACACTTGATCTTAGCCAAAGAACTCAGAAGTGGTTAGAAAGTTGGATTTTTTTTTTTTTGAAAAATCAAACTTCTGACTTTTAAATGTTGGAAACCACCAGCTTCCTATTTTTTCTGTAACAATCAGATAAGGCTAAGTGGCACAAATTTATTACTTTTCATTTCTAAAGGGGAGTTTGTAACAGATCTTAACTGAGCTGAAATTCGCGTGCTGGCAGGGCTCCTTTCAGAAACTGTAGAAGACAGCTCCCTGCGTTACCCTTTCTGCTTGGGAGTGGTTATATCTTTTTCTTTGACTTTCCTACTTCCTCTTCTCCCTTACAAAGATGCCCCTGTGACTACAGTAGTCCATCTCACTAGTCCAGAGCACCTGCTAGGACTGGACCGCATATTCTAGACATTCCCCAACGCAAAGAGAGTCTGGCCAGTTGCCAGATCTCAAAGGTGTCGGAAGCACCACTCCTGGGTATAGGAAAGACACAGGACACAAAGCCTGTAGCCAATACACCAGCGGGAAGTGTCTCAGTGAAGATAGGCAGGAGGAGAGACAGCTGGCCTTCGGTACACTTTACCAAATGCTGGCATAGCTTTTCACTAATCACTCCACACATTTGCCTTTGGCCAACAGTTTGAAAGTTTTACCTGTTGGTCTTTGGACAAAATTAGGAACTTAGGGATGTTGAAGTAAATACTAGTTTATGCTGTTACATTTCATTTCATATATCAACAGGATAATTTTTCATTCATGTGCTTTTTTCATGCATCTATATTTGCATGTGAGCTTTGCCATGGTTTCCTCTAAGTTCTCACAACTGCAAGGGTTATGATGACTTTTTCCTAAGAGCTTGGGCACAGATGCAACCTGGCACAATGAATGTGACATCAGCGGCCTTCATAATAGCAATCTGGCGGATCAGGTTGCTTTTCAGCTTTGTTGGCAACTCACACAGATCTGGCAAAGAGAACTGGCACAATGACTGAGTGGTCCTTTCACCGTGATTTATGATCTGCCTGGGTCAAAGCTGAAGCTGGTCAGATGGACTGGATTGGGATCACGCCTGGGTGGAGTTTTCTTGTCTGCTGGCAAAAAGACTCCTTCTGCTGTGCTCCAACAAGTTAGACGTTTAGACATTTTGCTGAGAGACGCGTATACCCACTGCAAACACGGGATGAAGAAAGACACTCTTGTTCCTGGTTACACTTCAGTACCTCCCTTGGTATGGGCACCAGGTTAATCAAGGAAAAATATACACCTGCAGCTGGCTTTGGTCATGTTGTTCTTGTCATTTAGGCAAGTTACCAACCTGTTAAATAAGACAATAACATCTATCTGACAAGAATCTTAAATGAATGTGAAGATATTCAATACCTCTGAAGTATCATACAAATGCAGTGAACTAGTATTATGTGTGATTTGAATTAGATTTCATTTTTCCTGTCTCTTGTCTTTTCAGTAGGATACACACACACACCATCTCATTAATTCTCTGGCCTATGTGTTGTCTCAGTAATGATGATTTGCATCAAGGGCTAACTAAGCTGCACAAGGCCCAGAGGTAGTTTTTCTTTTTAATTGTTTTGAACTTTTTCTTGGAAAAAAAACATACAGAACCAAGTCTAGATGAAAATTACAGAGTGTGCGATACAAAGTAGGAAAAGTCCATAAATGTATGCTAGAATCTCAATCAGAGGAGGAGGATTTTTTAAAAAAAATAGATGGGTAGTTTTAAGAAAGGATTGATCTTATGATTCTCATTAAAGAAATTAGAAGCCGATGCGTCCTAAGCAAAACAGAATTAATTGGTTTTGTTGGAAACATGTTCATATGAGATTTTGGAAGGAGAAGTTGATTTCATCATGGAACAAATATTGCCTATCCACAAAGTGATCGGTTTACTGGCTGTTGAAAACAACTGGAATGCTTTGAGCTTTGCCATATAAACTAGCACAACAGAACATATAAAATTCCTCCAACTCCTTATGAAGTCTATGGATCATGGGCTGCCCCAATCATGAACTCTTTGAGTTTAGCAGAAGTTAAGTCATTATTTCTTAACTCATTTTTGGTTTCTTTGCCAGTTTTTCACAATTTGCACTCTCTCTGGGTCCTGAATCTCTACCTGCCTTCCTTTGACTGGTTGAAGTGAGTGATGGATGTTTGCTCCTGTTGGTCATCTCGAGTTACTTTGTAACTAAGCCTCATTGTTGCCAGGCTGACCTTGGGGAGATCCTTGAGCCCCCCTGAATCACAGTCTGTGGGTGAGAGAAGTACACTGACCTCCAGAGGCTTCGGATTTCTTGGAGAAACAATTTTCAGGGCCGTTCTGTATGCAGTGGAGGAAGCTCAGTGGGTGAGCTAGGACACCATGGGTTTTAGGGATGAGCAAAGTGGTCTTGAGTCCTGCTTGCCATGCTTTCCTCAGTGAATGTTGCTGCATTGCTTTCTCTCTTGATTGTAATAGATCCTTTGCAATATTTAAGAGGCAAGCTTGAAGCATAGGACTCTAAATGCAGGAATCCTACTGAAGCATCTCTGGAGCACTACAGTGGACAGGAGAGAAAGGTGAGAAGAGCAAACATAATTTGAAATAGACTGCATCTTGCTCACTGATTAATAGATTATTCCATTACATCAAATTCCAAATAGGCATAACCTTCAAATAACTGCTCTAAAAAATTGTATAAGTCCTATACCTTTGGGATTTACGGGAATACAACTCAAATCTTCAAGGGTAAGTCTTCAAATGACTAGAAATTATTGTAACCCCCTCTTCTTAGGCTTGTTGTAATCATCTGACAACACAGGTGAAAGAATTAGGACATGGGACAATGAATAAATATGAGACTCTTCCAAAGTAATATTAATTAGATGAGTAAATGAGTATTGGCAGGAGAATTGCTTTGACTCAGAAGTATGATGATAAGCACACATCATTTGGATATTTTTTCTAAAACTCTCTAGACTCATCCTTTTTAGAAATGGGTCAGTACATGGCCCTGTGTCCATTTAAATAAGCTATGTCCCAGCGGCTTGTATACTTCTTAGCTCTCGCCTCTTCATTTTCTATGAGGTAGAATCTCATTCATAGTGTGTGTGTGTGTGTGTGTGTGTATACGCACGCGTGTGCATGATAGGGAGATTTTACTTTTTAAATATATTTTCGTATTTCTAGCTGTATTTTGGCAAGAAAAGGAATGTAACATGTTAAAAATGCATCACAAAATTAACAGAAATCACAGAATTTAGTTAAAATGAGAAAGAAAAGTTAAGCAACAATAACATTTGAATATAGTATACTTCATGGGAAAGATTCTGAGCAAGAAATGCAAAAAGAAGTCCGGAGCAAATCATGTGCATCTGACAAACTCCTGCCACATACAGAGAAATTAAAGCATTTAAAGAACTATTTTTACTTCTGGTTTAAAATGACCAGTAAGTTACAAGCTTCATTTTAACATCTAGTAAAATAAAAGCAAAGAAACACAAAGAGAAATAAACTAATAGCATTAAAGAAATTAAATTAGGAACGAATCAATAAATAAATGATTTTAGTAGACTTCTGGGAGATTGAAAATCAACAAGAGTATCTTGGTGAATCAACCAGGCTAAGAAAGTCACAGTTCTGTAGATGATAATGATCTATGAGAAACTCAGAGCTTATCTGCTCTGCAGAATCCCAACAAATCTCTGGCCTTAGAGTCAATAGCCAGGGTGTAAGGACTAGAGTTAAAATCCGAGATTCCCTTGAGGTCATCATGACTGCTGCGGCCACAGCTCTAAGCTCAGTTTCTCTTTCCCAAACCAACACCCGGGCAAAGCATCAGCCGACTCCTCTTTAAAAGCAAACTGTGTTTGGGGAAAACAAGACTTCCTGCCCTCCATCACCTGTGAACAAAACACGGAAAGCTTTGCTATGTTTACAGGATGATATGCAAATGATAAAAACCTTACATTATGAAAAGGCGAGTGGGTGGCTGACAGAAGGAGGGAAAGGCCTTGCAGAGGGAAGAGTGAGGATGCTAAGACTCTGGTATCATAAACGTAGTCACTGTTGTGTTCACTCAGCGAATATTTACTGAGATCCCACTGGGTACAGGAGCTGTCCTAGGCTTTTGAGATACAAAGAAAGGAAAAAAACAGAAGACAAAACATCTTACTTTCAAGGAGCTTGCATTATATTACACTACTTCATAGCAGGTAAGGCTGCAGGAGATACTCCTAGTGCTGGTTGAATATGAAATAGACAAATATATTATTTAATAATTTTAAGATAACTAATAAAACTAGTAATAATAATGAGAATGAAGATGAAAAGAATAGGGGTTAAGTGACCTAAATTGTTAGCTCTTATATAAGGAATTAATTAGATACTGTCTAAAGTGGATAAATCAAGACATAGATAAAATAATAATGTCTGGAATTATGGAGGAAGATGCCAAAAGTCAAAACAGAAGCAAGTGAAGGATTTGCCTCCAGGATGAAGAAGGTGAGAAGGGAGGCATGTGCACACCATGTTTGCTTTTCACCCTAAGTCCTATTTGCCTTCTCGCCAGGTGCACGCGTTATATTGATTAATACATAGATACTAAAAATTAAGTGACTTCGAAAGGAAGTATAATCAAAGAATGAGACCCATTTTTTATCTACCAAGACTCACAGGATTAGGCATGAAATTATTAGAAATGGATTTTCCCCCCTATATTTTAGAGTAAGTATTTAAAAATACATGCCATTTCAGTCTCTTACTGTAGCTGGAGTGAGTGGGAGAGTCAGACAAAATAATAAGTTGGTGAAGACTCAAGCTGGAAATAAAAGCAAAAGCTTCCTGAGTATGTTTTCAAGATAAATCGAGTGCAGTT